GGTAGAAGATTGATTGTTTATTAGTTGGTAATAAAGTTTGGTTATGTAAATCCTGTGGCTATGGATTATAAAGTGTCAGAGATTCCAGAAGCTCATTCGCCTAAGATCATCAAGGTAATGTCTTGTGGACAACCCCTGAAAGTTGTGTCAGAATTTTAGAAAATGATTGAAACTGATGGTTATGATGATGTTGTTGAGGTTTGTAATTTTTTATCTACTTGATTGCAAGGCCGGATCTAGCAAATTGAGTGAGGTGGGACCAAAATTATGTGATAACTGAAAATGAAAGAAAAAATGGCACAAGATAAAATATACAAAATTACTATTACATGTAAATTTTTTCATCTTTATATATAATTCCAAATGAAATATTAAAACACACTACAATTTGTATATTTCGTTATCATTGTCCATTCCAATGACTTAAAATGTGTTATTATCAATATAAAATTATCCATTTACTCACTGAAAACACATTAAATTGTATACATGTCGAGATCACATGATTAATCAATCATATGTCATACAATGTATGTCAATCTTTTAAGATATTAATACTCGCCGTGGGTTGGAGAGCAATAATATTTTTCAATATGTTGGATCAAATAATTTATTATAATTCCATCTCTTAGTTGATAAATTTATTATAATTATTATAGTAGCATGCAAAGTCAGGATATATTTATTTAAAGATACAACGGATAAATAAGACATTGCAATAAAAAAAATTTAGTAAGAGAAAAGTAGGGAAAAAAAAAAAACTTAATTAATAAACAACTTTATTTATAAATTATTTTTATAAAATTACTTAATTTATACTTATTTTCTTAAAAATATATTATAAAATATATAAATTTCAGGTGGAGCCTAGGCCCCACCTGGAGTGCCTTTGCATCCGTCTCTGCTTGATTGGCCAGTTTTGCTTATTTAATGTATTATACTTGCATGATTATCATATTAATTACATTATTAGTTAATAATTAATTTCTCATTACTGATCTTTTGTCAATAAAGCACAAATAGGTCAAATATGGTGCATGGTTGGTTTATATATAGTGCCTGATTAGTTAATATCAGTAACCATACTTATTTGTTTTAACACATGTATCGTACAAGGCCACAAATAGGTCTTTGTTGATGTACTGTGCATAATTATTTATGTGTTGATCCACACGTGTCAATTATATTTGTTTTAATGCATTTTTTTTTTGTATAAAATAGGTGTATAGGTCAGCTTCTATCGAAGATGAACTGTCTTGCTAATGACATTGTCGATGTTATTGAATTGTTTAAAGTTGTTCCTGAGCAAGTCAGTGGCGATGCTCAATTTCTGAGGATTCATCAAACAGCAAAACAATTGATTTGTTTGAATAGTGAAAATGATGAATCCTCTCATAAAGCATCTAAAGTTGATACAAATGACCATTGTAAGGGTTATTTGAGCAATAGGAAAAAAAAGTCATGTACACAAACTTTGAGGTATTGATACAATGAATCAATACATTGCATACAACATTTCCATGCTAAGGTTCTGAATCTGATTGTTGTGCTTCCCAAATTTGATGCAATTAATCAATATACTGCATACAACATTTCCATGTTCACTAGATCAAGAATCTGAAGGTTTAACAAATCGTACATCTCTAAGGATTTGGAAAATTATTAAAGACGAAACGGACAAATGAATAACTCGATGGTTGAACAAAGCTGTTACCATTTTTCCAGATCTTCAAGGACTGAATGGAGTGAGATCAATTTTGAACTGTTTCTTTCCCTTGCTAACCTTCTGTAAATGGCAAAACAAAAATCAAAAGACGTGAAAATCAATGAAAGCACCATGGCTTAATTTAAACAATTGATCTTTCTTCACGATGATATGCCCAAGAAAAATTGATTCTTTTAGTTCGTTACGACACATTATATAAAAAGAAAAAAACCTGTGAAGATTTTAACTTACAGCAATTGCAATAAGCTCCTCCAAAAGTTCCTCCAAGTGGCGAAGGGGCTGCATAATAAAAATGAACGCCATTTATCATGCCATGCACCAATACTGGAAGCTCTTTGTTCCAGAAAGCAGTTTTAATACAGAACTATGATACATATAAAAACAAATCTGGTTCATGCTTACCCATTGTGTTGGACCATCAACTGGAGCATTCAAAGGGTCATCATGTACCTATTAGCTACGAAATGCACACTTAGAAAAAAATCTGAAGAACTTAATCATAAGAATAATTTCAAGCAATTGTCTGAAGTGATATAGTCTTGTACCTCCATAAAGATACCGTCCACCCCAACAGCAACCGCAGTCCGGGCAATGCAGGGTATCAGCTCACGAAGACCACCACTGGCAACACCACCACCTTCTAACTGTTGATGTAATTAATCAACCATTTTTATGATCGATATTAAATTGAGAAAAAAGTAAATAAATGTTATTTAGTAAATGCAAGGAACACTAAGCTTGTGGCAACCAACATCAAGGCAATGTTTTGGGAGATGGGGTTTGCTGATAAAACTTGGTGCTAAAAGTTTTAAGTCCCCAGTACAAGAAGTGTGTCAAAGTTTTAATATTGTTCACCAAGGGAACAAATATCCATGTGAAGCAGAATAATCCAAATAAGACAACACATTAGATATTATTGACTTCAGGTTCATTCTAGAGTCTTCAATGAACACACCATTTTACATGATTCGAGTAGGGTATGTCACAGAACCTATATCTTTAATACCAAAGGACCACCCAAATATGAAAGGAATTTGTTCATGGTTGATGGAGTTTGTCACTGTTTATTATGTTATATATTCATCAAACATATTACAGATTTATAATGCATACCTTTCTCCCTGCAGGTTGCTGTAAAGAGTGAGTAATATCAGCCACCTTAAAAAAGAAAAAACAATTAGAAAATTAGAAAAAGTCCTCGAAAATATTTCAGATGTGTCAATTATGTTAAACATAGCACAGATACATAGTGAATCATGTATCAAAAATCTTACAACAGGACAATTTGCCTCCCTCATCCACTCCAAGTTACGTGGATCAACAATAAGGTCATCTGCATATTAAAACAATAAACTTTAGAAAGCTATGTACACAAGTAAAAGTTCATCTTTTGACATAGGAATAGCTAATAGGGAATTGAAGATTACTTACTGTAGCCAAACATTGTGCCTCTCTCACATACCATGACATTTTCGTTTCCAGCCATCCTTATCTTTTCAGCAGAGTTTGCCATGACCTACAAAACCCATTAACCAAAAGTTGCCAATCAATATCTATATATCCTAAGAGGTTCAGTAAAAAATTAACTGTGCAACAAAACTAGGGGGAACTATAACTCACAGAAGGAGCACAAAATTGGCCTTTCTTGATATTGATTATTTTCCCTGTCTTAGCAGCTGCCACAAGCAAATCAGTCTGACATTCGAAGAAAAAACAAAAAATAGAGCAATGACAATTAATAATAGGATGCAGACATGAGACATGAAAGGTTAATAACAAGTAAGCATTTATTTTTTTAACTCAAACTAAAAGTTTCGAATCTAACCTGTCTGCACAAGAAGGCTGGAATCTGAATTATATCAGCAACTCTGCCAACAGCTTCACACTGTAATAACATACGAGAATCACTAGTCAGCACCACTTGTTTTCGGTTTAGCATAACTTTGCTTTTGGCCTATCCTTACTGAATTTGCTGATTGTCAAATTTTGCAAGAAACGAGACAAAATTCGGCAAATTCGTACTATCCATCCATAGTTAGCATCTAAAGATATTATACTGATCACGTGTCCACATAAATGCTACCTCAAGAAATCTGATGTTAAAAGCAACACTAGCATACTATATAATTATGCATCAAAATCATCTTTAAAATTTTCCCAATTTAAAGTCCAACCTGGATCGACTCGTGGACATCGGTGACTACTGGAATGTCATACGTTGCTTTCACCTTCTCAAGGATCTGTAGATCAAACAAGCAACAAACATAGATTTCAACACTCTACCCAAAGGACAGTACCATGCACATTCATAGCATCACCAACCCAAAATCCTTCTTACAATCCTAAAATGAGCCATAATATATCCCAATTCAAACTACAACAACATAAGCATTTGCAACCTTCAAGCCTTCAGCCAAACCTGGACCGCGAAACGACTTCGAGGAAGTCCGATTGGCTTTGTCGAAGCTCGATTTGAAGACCAGCGGCAATCCGAGCCTGTGCAAGCAGCATAAACCACCGAATTCAGCAAGCATTACAATAATTTAACTCCAACAGCAACAAAAATAAATAAATGAATAAATACAGATAATGTGCAATAGGAGTTGCAGAAATAAAAAAATCAGTACTTAGACGTGATTGCTTTGATTTGCTTGGCCATGTGGAGAATGTGTTGTTCCGATTCGATCACATTCGGTCCCGCCAGTACGAAAAATGGCTCCGCTGTCTGTTTACGGAACAATTACCGGTGACTGAGACGGTAATTATCTTCGAATTTCAACAAAATATGAAAAGAGAAAATTGGAAAAATGTAAATTGATTTCGAAAACCTTGAGCTGATTGAAAAGCAGTGCTGATGAATCCATGTCTCTCGCCGGTTCAAAATGGAAAAGCTCGGGAAAAAATCTGATGATGGTCCGAGATCTCACGGGGACGAAGAGGAGTGACGTCAGTTGAAAAATTAGAGCGTGGCCTTTGGATTTCTCTTTNACGAAGAGGAGATGCACTTAGAAGATGAATATGGAAATTTTTTCCTTATTATTTTATGGATTCAGTATATTTTGTTCACGATTGGAAATTCATAATTATTTTCAAAATATTTTGAATAACAAAATTTTTAATATATCTGGTAATGGTGTTAGTTTAAACAATTTTTGGCCAACTCGTTTAACTAAAAAGCTCGGCTCGTTCATAAGGGTGTGGCATCTTGCTTCAAGTCTGTCCGGAGAGTTGACCTGGCAACCCGAGTTGTCCGTCTGTACGGTGCACAGTACTATAGGCGGTCAGACTTTGACAGGTATGCAGACGACCCAATCTCGTTGCGACACATGATCCAATCTTTGTATAGCTCTATCCCTGAGTTAGATCCCCTTTGTCTTGTCTTAAGACCAAATCCACGTCATCAGGTCGAATATTCGTTAGGTAGAACATCTTCCCCAGTTCCCTTACTATCCATGAGGTCGAGTCGATCTCTTGGTTGGCCAGGTCGAGCTTGTAGCAAGCTCGTGTTGCGATAGATTTTCTCCTCGCAGGAGGTCATCGTCAACCTGGTTATGGTCTTCAGGTCGATCTTTGGTTGTGGCTCGAGCTATCTTGTTAGTCCGCTCTAGCTGCTCGATTCATTTGATTTAGTCGACCCACATCTCAAAAAGTATTTCATTTTCATAGCATAAGTATGCATTTTTGTGAAAAAGAAAATATATACATCAAATCCATTGGTCAACGATTAAGCCGACTCACATGAATTTTCGCTCTCGTTAACCCCCACCCCATAAAATTTGACTCAACAAGCACTAAACTCCCAA